GAGAGGGGGGCAGAGGACCCGAAGCAGGCTCCAGGCTCTGCGCTGACAGCAGTGAGCCCGACGCGGGGCTCGAACTCACAAACCGCAAGATAGTGACCTGAGCCGAAGTTGGACACTTAACTGACTGAGCCACCCAGGTGTCCCTGAGAGTGTGTTTTTCTGATTTCATATAGTCTCTTGGAATCCATCCCCGGCAAAGGCCAGGCGGGCACAGGGTTGAAGGCAGTGGCTTGGGGGGTGGCTCCCTCCACCCTGTGAGCTGGCTGGTGGCTCAGGACTTGCTGTGCGTGGGGGGAGGGCGCGTCTGACGGGCTGGGCTGTGGGTGTGTTCACATTCCTCTGTGGGCACGAGCACTGCTGCCCACGAGGTTTGGGAGGAGCGGGAACTCACCTGCCTTTCCGGTCGTTTCCTTCCAGTGCTGGAATGTTCCTGCTCCTGTTCAGCGCCCTGCAAGCCAGTAAGTTCAGAGAGGCTCCTGCCGGGGCTGCGGATGCGGGTGCCACCTCACTGCGGCCCTTCTGGCCTTTGCAGGGGGCCCTACGGGAAAGCGGGGCTCGGGGCCTAGGGGAACGTGCAGATTCAAGGCCACGAAGGGGCCGCTTGTGCAGCCCCTGCAGTTCTTGTCTTAGTTCGTGTTTAGCGACAGTCGCTTCCGTCCCTCCGCGTTCCAGATGAGCTGGGGCTTCCCATTTCTCTTGACCCCTTTGCCCCAGTCAGCCCCGGGGAGCCTCCAGAGCCACCACCTTCCAGAAGAGCAAGGAACAGGGATCTGGCACCACAGCCAAGGCTGAGACCTTGTGGAGCCTTCCAGCCCCGAGGATGGCAGGACAGGGGACACGGGCATTGCCATGGCCGCACCGGTGGTGCGGCGGCTCTAGACTCGGCTCGTGGGCCTTTCTGATGCCCTGCGAGCAGCGTTTTAATACAATGCTGTTGCTGAGAAACTGTTTTCTTGTAAATGTCCTAATTAAAAAAAAAAAAAAAAGCTTTTTACTTTGAGTTAATTATAAACACCCAAGAGGTGGCCCAAACCGTGCAGAGCCGTCCTGGGTGCCCGCCCCTCCCCCGACTCCTCCCGATGCCGGCCTCTCCCACCGGGGCGGAAATCCACGCTGGAGAATATAGTGCTTTCCAAAACTGTTTGAATTTTAAACATGCTAGCACATTCCTACGTCTGTTTGATTAATGCATTAACATTTCTACTGAAATGAGTCAGAATAGGTGTCTGATTGACCCTTGCTACCAAAAAGCCTCCCTCCCCCTAGTTAGAGAACTTCGTGGGCTGGGACTCAACCGTAGCAAGTAAATGTCGTGCTTTCTGAACCACAGCAGATGTTCAAGAGAAAGAAGTCAGGGCGCTGGTGGGCAGCGACGTGGAGCTCAGCTGCGTTTTCCCCGAAAGACACAGTTTTGATTTAAATGACCTTTATGTGTACTGGCAAACCAGTGTCGTCGGCACACCGAAGACCGTGGTCACCTACTACCTCTCCGGGAACAGCTCCGCGGGCCACGAGGACAACCGCTACAGGGACAGGGCCCGGCTGTCGCTGGAGAGCATGAAGCGGGGTGATTTCTCTCTCCACCTGCACAACATCACCCCCCAGGACGAACAGAGGTTCAACTGCCTGGTGTTTAGGAAATCCCTGGAGTTAGACAAGATTCTGGATGTCGTGGTGACGTTACACGTGGCAGGTAAGACCATGGAAGCTGACGGGACAGACCCCACCCCAGCCTTGCATCCCAGAGAAAGTATTAACGAGGCCCATTCTCGGGCTCCTTCACCTGTTTCTTCCGTAAAGAACGTCCTAGTCTCTGCCGGCGGGTTTCTGTCCAACCGAGCGGGAAGCTGAACTGGTTGAAAACTCATTCAGCTCCTGGGAAGTTTTCCGTAGCCTGAGGTCACCTGGTGTCACAGAAGAACTCCTAACCTTGCTGTCTGGGCCTTAAATTCTGCATCTCAAGTCCAACTAGGTGTTCTTAATGAAATTAGAAGAGAATGCTGTGAAGCACCAAGGGAGATCCGAGTTTAGGAAGAAAAAGTCAACCAAGGACCCCGGACCCTGTCCCCTCCGGAAGTCCTGCGAGCCTCCCGTGTCACCGGAGATCCACACGCGCCCCGCCTGCTCACATGGGGGAGGGGGTGCGGGCCCAGCAGCCCTGCTGGGGGGCGGCGGTGTGTGCCGGCTGCCCGGCCCGCGGTCAGGGCACGCTGGGCCACCTCCCCTCTACCCTGGCCCTGGGCACCAACCATGTGCCCCTCTGTTTCTGACCTTCAGAACCTGCCTCCCTCACCACCCATCTCCCCCCTGCAGCCAACTACAGCATGCCCGTGGTCAGGGCCCCAAGCGGCCCCTCCGAGAATGAGGAGCTGACGTTCACGTGCACATCCGTGAACGGCTACCCGAGGCCTAACGTGTACTGGATCAACAGGACGGACAACAGCCTGCTGAACGAGACCTTGCAGAACAACACGGTCTCCTTGAATGCACAGGGCTTGTACGACGTGGTCAGTGTCCTGACGATCCGGCGGACCCCCAGCGTGAACGTCGGCTGCTGCATAGAGAACGTGCTCTTGCACCAAAACCTGACGACGATCAGCACTCAGGCAGGTAAGGTCCCCGGGGTCTGTCCCCTGACACCGACCCAAGACTGTAGGCCTGCGGTGACTCAGGAGGTCCTCTGAGCCAGAAGACCGAGCCCCTGCAAGGTGCCTGGGCAGTGGCTTCCGGAAGCTGGAAGGAAGGGGGAGGAGGTGATAGGCAGCACTCGACGACGAAATTCACCACGGCTGCCGAGGGCAGGAATGGGGCCGGGCGCTCAGTGCTTAAGTGGTTTCACTTAATCTTCGTTCTCAAGCTCAGGTTTGGTGACTCACTTCACAGACGAGGGGCTGAGGCCTGGAAGGTTGTGTAGGACCGGGCAGCGGCGGCATCAGGGTTGAAGGCATGGCTGAGCCTCTGCCGCTTAGAGGGCCAGAGTGCCCATGCTGGGGTTCCAGCCGCCGGCAGCTGGCCTGGCTGCGGGCTCGGGGCTTCCCCTTGGGAGGGGTGCAGGCAGGCGACTCCACAGAGGCCACGGGCTCTCTCAATCTGCGTCCCTGTCACTAGTGTTGAGATGACAGGTCCCCCTGGGTGGAGGCGGGAGAGCTCCACGATGGACTCTTGTGGGCCTGCCCATGCCCTACGGGGCCCCGCACAGGTTGGAGAGAAAGCATAGCTCTTGGTTCGGGCCTTATGAGAGTCCCAGGGGGCAGTGGCAGCAGTCACGCCAAGCACAAGCCCCTGAGTGTGGGCCCGTGAGCCCACGTGGGTCGCATGCTGTGACACTGGCCCTGACCCCCAGGAATCCTTGCGGGCCCGACATCTTCCTCCCTGAAGTCAAGGCACGGCCTCGTGACCCTGTGGTCCTGGCCTCTCTGCCCAAATGGACCAAGACAAGGGCTGTACCAAAAAGCCTGCCTCTGATGGCCGCCTCCCAGCAGTGGTCTCCCCGGCAAGGCGGCCCCGGCAGCAGGGGAAAGGGGAACCAGAAGGTTCTCTCAGGGCTGCGGCCTCGGCTCCTGTGCTGTGGGATGGCTGGGAAGCCCGTAAAAGTCCCCGAGCCCCGACCCATTGGATTTGCTCCCCTGGGCTAGCCGGGCACCAGGACACGTTTAAAGGCTTCCAGATGATTCCAAGGTGCATTCAAGACCTAGCCACTGAGTGGTTTCTCCCATTTTGGAGACGTACGGGGCGTTTATCACAAGCTTCCCTTCCTTGTGTGCCTGGGAGAGCCACTTTCCAAGGGGCTAAGCAATCACGTTAAGAGAGGACGGATGAACCCTTCATGCACGGTGGGGGGGTGGGGGGGTGGGGACGCAAAATGGTGCAGCCACTTTGGAAAACAGCCTGGCGGTGCCTCTGAAGGTCGTCGTGGCGTTTCCATGTGACCCAGCAATTCCGCTCCTGGGTTGTACCCGGCAGAATTGCAGATGGACTCACATGTGCGTGAATGTTCAGAGCAGCATTACTCACAACGAGCAGCGAACAGATTAACACTTCCGTCCAGGCACTGATACTCACTGCCACGCGGCTGGAGCTGGAGAACGCCGTGGTCAGTGAGGAGCCAGAAAGCACACACGCCGTGTGACCGCGTTTATATGAAATGTCCAGAATAGGTCAATCCTTAGAGATGGAAAGTCCATGAGTGGGGGCGGGGGCAGGGGAAGGGCAGTGGCTGCCGATGGAGACGGCGTCTCCGGGCGCGACGCAGAAGCTCTGCACCCAGACGGTGGCGATGGCCGTGCCCCACTGGAAACGTACAAAATGCTGCTGCTGTGTTCACTGCGTTGTGTGACTTTTGCCTTTCTTTTTTTAAATCTGTCTATAAAACTAAATAATAAAAATAAAAATAAAATGATGCATTAAATCACAGTAAACATTTTTTTGAAAGCCAGGAGGACTCTGTGCTTCCCACCATGCCCTGCCCAGGTGGCGGCGGCTGGAAAGGGCTGGGGTTCCAGGTCGCCAAAAGGTGGAGTTCCACCCCTCCCCACCGAAGAGCCGCAGATTTTAAGCATCACAAAGCAAAGCCAGGGAAGTTCTGAGGCCTCGGTGCCTCCCTCGGTTTTCTCCTGCTCAGGATGGAAGGGGTCCCTCCCCTTTCCTCCCCTCCCTTTCAGTCTTGTGTTATTTTCCTCTCCCGTAGAAACGGTCACCGGGACGGAATATGGCATCACCGAGAGCCAAGCCGATGCCCCGAAGAAACAAGGGGCGGTCCTCAGCGCCCTCATCGTGCTGGGCGTGGTCGTGGCCGTGGCCGTGGCTACGGGCTGGGTGTGCCGAAGCAGGTGCCCCCCGCAGGATCCACGCAGGTACCCGTTAAAAGTTCTGCAAGACGTCGCTTTCCTGCGAAGTGCGGCTTTAATAGCGTTCACGCTCACGAGTTCTAGCGGCTCCCCCAACTCTGGGACGTGGGTCCTGGGCGTGGCCCCTGATGTCGTGGGCTCCATATTTCTGACACAGCCGAGCCGAGGGCGCCGTGTGAGGCTTTCTCCCAGTGTGGGGTGGGAGTGCCAGCTTCTGGATTTAGACGTCAGGACGGAGCCCTTTTCTATGGAGGCCAAGCCGCCTTTGGTCCTGACGAGGCTGTTGAACTCTGGCCAAACTCAAAGGGGTTTAGAAAGATTGAGAAAGGCTGGGTGTTGACCCTACAAAACAAAGCAGCAGAACTCACAGAAGAGGCAGGAAAGCCCAGAACATGAACACGGTCACAGCCATGTCAACCAGGGTCAGTAGGGAAGGCCCTGAGTGGGGGGCACAGGGAAGAGATGTCTCCCCAGCTCGGCCTGGCGGGCATCCCCCAAGATACTGACAGAGTTGGGGATCTTCCGGGTCTTCCGGGAGGGTCGGGGCATGGGGAGCGCTGGTTCCCTGATGCAAGTCTGCATGTGCTGCTGGAGTTTCTGGTTTGTTGCCGATGCCTTCATCCCAGAAACACTTCCCACGGCCCATGGCCCACTGCCGATCTGGCCAGGCCCTGGAGAGGCGCCTTGAGTCCGGAGCACAGACACCTTACAAAGCATCTTCCCGGAAAACCAGGTGGCCCGAGGGACCCTCCCCTGTGAGTCTGTCCCTGCTGTGCGTGGCACCCAGGGCCACTGGGGACTCTAGAGCAACGCCTCTCTACCCCTGCTACCTGCCCTGAGTGTTTCCGGTTTGTTCCAACAGGAGCTGGGCTGCAAGGCCAGAGCAGACGTTCTCTTTGGTGAGTTTGCCAAGAGGGAAGGGGGCCCGTGGACAGCAGGTGCAGGTTCACGTGAGCGGATGGCTGGGCGGTGGCTTTGTCAGCGTTGGCCTCTGGCACGAGCTATCCTCGATGACGGGGAGCTGGATGTGGACATTTTCAGAAACACGATGAGCCCCTAGAGAAGGCGTGTCACACTTTCCCCTTTGGCATGCAATCCTATCCTTGTATACGCTTGCTGACTGACATTGGGTTACAGAATTCTCCAGACATCCACGAAAGCTGATGATGACCCCCAGGCACATCTGCCAAACTTCATCCCTTCTCCCTGGGCCCCCTCCTCCCTACCCTTCCCACCCCACCCCCACGGGGGTCTCAAGGGAGTCTGGACGCTAAGCCCTTTGTCACAGAACAGTTACTCAGGGTCTCCTGGTAGAAGCAGGCAGCCCACTGTCCCAGGAGCAAAGGTCGAGTGATTCCCACCCAGTTTGGGAAAAGCGTCCACACACAGAGCCTCCAGTTTCCCAAGTGGCAGGTGCCTCGGGCTGCAAAGGGCAGTGGGGCTCGTAGGCGGGCTGGCCCGCACTGGACCCTTTCGGCAGACGGCCACCCCTCTCTGAGCCCCGTCTGCACCCCTGTGAGCCACGCTTGTCCTGGGGAGGCTGGGCCCGGCTGAGCCTGGTCACACCGGTGCTCCTGAGGCCACGCAAGCCAGTCAGACAACTGCAGAACACAACTTGCCAAAACACCAGGGCCCGCCTGTCAGGCAAAGGACACTGTTTGTGGGTTTTCTGAGTTTCCGGTCCTTCGTTTCCACCATCCTATGTCCTGAGAAAGCAGCCGCCCGCCCCCAAGAGGAGGGAAGCAGTCACAGTGCTCCGTGACGCTCTCCCTTCTGTTTCTTTCCAAGACCGTGTCTGATGAGAACTCACCACCCGGAGCGTGGACAGGGTTTCTGTGAGATCCCACCAGGAGGGACGGCGGATGGCAGCTTGGGAATTGACTCTGGCGGACCTGGTGGCCAAGAGGGGACCATCTGCCCCCATCGGTGCCATTAACAAGGGGGTTTCACGGACACGGAGGCTCTCTGGCCTGGAAGGGACACGTAGGACCGTGCCTGATCCCAGGGAGAATGTTCCAGGTGCCGCCCGGATCCTGGAACGAGGACCTCTCACAAGGGCCAACAGCTCCAAACGCACATGCCCCCAAGTGAGCGGGCTCCCCGCCTTTGCTGCCGAATGCAGGAGGAAGGTGCCTCGTGATGGCTCCTCCCCCCGCCCCAGCCCCCCCGGAGGCCACAGAACCCTTCTCAATCCCAAAAACGCGTGGGGGTTTTGGGGGATGGGGGCTTTCTGAGACCAGAGGAAGGGCGGCTTCTTTAGGAAGGAGTGAGGCGAGCTGGGTCTCCTCCAGGACCTCCCCTGCCGGCTGGAGGTCACTCAGGGCTGTTGTGAGAGGCGCACGTGCGGGGCCCCCTCCCCTCCTGCACTCTGAGCTGCGTGTGCTTGTGTGTGTGTGAGTACGTGTGTCTGTGCATGTGTGAGCGTGTCCAGAATGCAGGAACCGGTCAACACCGGAAGGTCCCTGGGAGCTCCTTTTCCTCTGGGATCTTCACCGGGGAGAAAACCTGACCTCGTTTGTTTTAGTCGAAAGCTGGATGTCCCTCCTAAAAAGGCACAGTGGAGTTTTTTCAAGAAGACAACGTGCTGCTGGGGCCATCGTGACAGAAGCAGGGGAAAGAGCAGAACGCAGAAACTTGCTCAGGCAGGACTGGGGACCCGTGTTTCCAGTGGACACGGGCTTCACTGCGTGGCCATCGAGGTCCTTCAACTTGGTGCCGTGACGTGCACGGAGGGGGCGCTTTCCCCGCAGAGTGGCAGCCGTTCAAAATGTGGCACTAATTCCATGCCACCCTCCGCACCTGTCACCCCCGGCTTCCCCCGGGACCTGCACGGCTGCCGTGGAGCCCACGAGGCCCAGCAGGGGACAGGAGAGGCGCGGTGGCCCAAGTCCACCCAGGGGTGTGCGGCCCATGGCCTCGACCCTCGCCGCGTAGCTTCCACGTTGTTGCCCCCACTGAATCTAGCAGCTGACGTTTCTGGAAGGTTCTGCACAGCCGGCTGCCCACTAATCCTGGTGTGCACGCCCCCGGGAAAGGCGGTGTCCCGCCTGCGGTCATTCAGCACTGGTGGCGGGCGTGATGGCAAAAACAAGGACCAGGCTCAGTGGGAATGCTGAGCCCAATCCGTTGCAAGAAGTGTTCACTGTGTTTGTACCCAAAACTCCTTGCCTGGCTGTCACAGCGTGCCGCGGACTGCACCCAGACTTTACCCGGAAGCATCAGGAGAGGCGTGTTCCCAAAGGGGACGAGAAGGTCGCCGACTGGCATCCGGAGCAAAAAGCAGAAGGACCATTTGGGTGCAGGCAGGGGCTGTGGAGCCCGCCTATGGCCTCGGGCAGGGGTGCCGGCACAGCCGCCCTCCCCGGGGGCCCCCCGAGTCCAGGCTGAGGGTCCCGCACCTCCTGCGGCCCGCCCGTCCGCAGCAGACCCTGGTCACTGGGCGCCCACCCAGACGGGACGGAACGGGGTCTGTTTCCAGCGCTCCCCTGTCCGAGCGGGCTTCTCCCTGGGGGGGGGGCAGCTGCCCAGACCCCCAGCCGCTCTCCCACCACTGCCTGTTTGTGGGTCTGCCTGGACCCGGGGCTCCCAAGGGATGCCAGCAGGGCCCCCCACTGGGCCTGGGAGAGGGTGCAATTTTGTGGGCAGACCTGTTCGCCGGCCTGGGCGTCACCAAGTCCACCACTCCTTAGGCTGCACTGTGGACAGGCCGAAGGCCAGTGTTTTTACATCTATTTCTGGAAACCTGATTTATAAGAATAACAAGAGGGAAAGTGGTGTCTGTGTCCAGTGGCTTTGGTCAGCGTGACAGTCACCTGCACACCTCAGCCCTGCGTCGCCCATTGCTGCCTTTCAGGGGTGCCCGCAGGGCTCAGCCGGGTAGGCATCTGACTTCAGCTCGGGCCATGATCTCGCGGTCCGTGGCTTCGAGCCCCGCGCCCGGTGTCGGGCTCAGAGCCCGGAGCCTGCTTCGGATTCTGTGTCTCCCTCTCTCTCTGCCCCTCCCCCATTTGCAATCTCTCTCTCTCTCAAAAATAAACATTAAAACAAAAAAAACCTTACTGCCAGCCTAGGGATCCTGCCCCTGTCCCATTGGTTTTCACCCAGGAAAGGTCTGTCTCCCAGGGGACGCTGGACACGGTCTGGTGGCAGTTTTGGTTGTCACACCTGGGGTTGCCACTGGCCTTTAATGTGTAGGGGCACATGGGACGGCCCAGCACAGAGAAGTAGCCACGTTAGAGGCCAGTGGCCCGAGAGTCAGAACCTGTGCCCTCCGCTGTTGCCTTCCTGTGGGAGGCGGGGGGGGGGGG